CCACCTCGCCATCATATATTAATTTTATCCTTTTTCATTTCATTTCATTTCTTTCTTTCTTTTTTTCATCATGGCTGTGGCTTTTATGATAAAAGGAGGAGGTATGAGAGCTTGAGCTAATTTGGGAGATAGTTTATGATGAACATGGAGGAAATTAAAGCCTAAAATTTACACTTAAAGATCATAAGGGACTGATTTTTCAACTATATTTTTAATTCAAGAGCTATAAATTATTTAGTTTTAAGTGATTCTAAGTTGTATGATTTAAAGACAATCTAATTCCACTGAAATTTTGAATATTTCAATTCTTGGATTGGATTGAAATTTGAATTAATTTGTGTTGAATAGGTTGCTTGAATTTATATTTATAAAGCCCTTGTTTTGCTAGTTAAATTAATAATTAAGTTCTCATTGTTAGTTTAATTTTAGTTGTGTTGTTTATTGCGAATTTGGGTTATTCTTTTTACTTATTGATTATTCAACTGAGTTGATAATTTATCTAATTATTCAATTAGATGATTTAAATATATTTTCTAGAATTATTTTTGAATTAATTGTCACTGATTTTAATGGATTTAATTGGCCTAATTCATGGCATGACACATGGATTACTATGAGTTTTTTAATGGATTAAGTGCTAGACTTTTGTGTTTTAAGGGTTCCCATGCTTTAATTATGTAGTTAAAATTATTAATTTCACTCTCTTATTATCTTTCTTTAGTCTAATTAATTGATTTGGGTAAGAAAAGTTAATTCTATGTAAAATTTTAAGTTGTTCCTTTTGTCACAATTGAATCAAATTTTTTTAATTTTTATTATTAATTCATTTGGTCACTTAATTAATTTCTTTAGTTGGCATTTTAATTTTTTTAAAACAAAACCCCCCAATCATAATTTAGGACTCATGTATTGCATAATGAAATTTAGGTTACATAAACATTAGCATCTATCTAGGTAATTTTAATTATATAAATTGCATTTTTCATTTGCATTTTAATGAAAAAATCCAGCACTTAGTTTTAAATCATTTTAACATTAGTAACTGAATACCTACAGCTAACCTTAGATAACCCTTAAATTATTTCTAGAAAAAAAATCCCAAGATTGAGTGTTGGTACAACTAAGACATCATCAACATTCTCTTGTTATTGTTCTCTCGCTCTCTTTGAATGATTTTGCTATAATATGACTTGCACATGTAATAAAATATTTTTTTGAATTTTGTAATTATCAAAACAAAGTGTATTCAATATAAATAACACTCTTATTAAAAACTTGTAGTTCCCAATTCTTATTCCCAAACTAAGTGCATACCTTATCATCTTTGCATTGCCACATCCACTTCAACAATCAGATGCAACTTACCATAATTGTATAATACCACGAATAGGGGAACCTGATAGTTATTTATAATTGGATATCACCTTGCAATTTCTTGTATTATCACGTGGCAGGACTTGGGGTGGCCATGACCCCTTCTAGGTTCTAAGAATAACATGGTTCTGCCCCTTGCTTGAACAATGAGAAACGCACCGTTTCATTTAACCTGGACTGCTTGGGCTCTTTTACTGGGCCTGGCTAAAAAGGGACTTAGTTTCCTAGCCCAATACCCATTCTTGGCCCATTTAAGCCTAACAGGAACAAATGAACATTCCTTGTTTTCATGCACATGAACAGAGGAGGCCCTTTGGGAGCGGCGTGCTGTGTGAAATGAGCATTTGAGAGGCGTCATTTGAATTTTTTTTAAGAATATTCAGATATCTAATATTATTAATTAATTTATATTTCAACTATTTTAGATTCCAACTCGAAGACAATGCTCTTTAAACATAGATATTTTCCCCCCAACCAATTCAAAGGCTGAGTGCAACATATTTCTTAAAACATGGAGTCCCTTTCATTGCACTACAAAAGCCATGGGTTTAGGGCCATTTGTTTAAGATTAAAAAATAAATAATTTTTAAATAATTTACAAATTTTATAAATAGAGATTTATTTTGTAGAGATTTTATAAAATATAAGAACTATTTTATGTTTAGTTACATAAATAAAAAAGTGATTATTAATCAATTATTTTTAAATTTTATGATATCTTTCTTAATTTTTGTTTTATAAAAATAATATATATTATATTATTTTAAAATTTTATAATATATTTGCGTATTCCACCTCTTTAAAATGCTATCTTTCATCTATTATCTGTGTGTTTGGATTAAGAAAATAATCAAATTTTTCAGTTAAAAAAATTTTGTTAATAAAAAAACCCAAACATCATTTTTTTCAATTAATCAATTGTTGAGAGAAAAATTGTTTTTTTTCCTAAGCTGTCTTTGTGAGCTTCTATCTCCGAAAGAAAAGGGAAGGGAATAACAAAAAGCTGATAAAAAAGCATGTGAAAAAGTTATAAAAAAAGGCCTACAAAAATTATAGGAAAGGCACAATTTAATAAAAATAAAACTAAAATCTCTCTCTTTTTTTTTCTTAATAAAATTTAAATTTTAAATCTTTAAAAAAGTTACTAACATAAGTTCCTATCAACCACCACCATTTACTTAACACTTATTATAAAACTAATTCAAATGAAATATTAATTGATAGAGAAAAATTAATTTAATTTAATTAAAATTTAAGATTATTAAAAAGATTATTGTAAAGGTTTAGAGAGAGATTTTGTATCATTTATTATATTATTACATTTTTTGTGTTACCAAAATTTTAAGATAGTGCTTAATACTTTCATCAGATATAACTTATATCCATAATGACATTAGAGATTAATTTGTTATTATTATCTTTAATAGTTTTTGTAAAATTGATGTCTAATACTTAAGAATTAAATATTTCTCTTTTATTAAATTTATTTGAACTAAGATATTGAGTTATTTATTTACATAAATTAAATTGTTAGTATTAATATAATTTAAATTTTTATAATTAATCATATATGTAATTTAAATAATACATTTTACTTGTTAAATATAATTTAACAAATTTAATAATATTATATACAAATATATTACTAATTTAATTTTGAAAAGCAATGTACAGTTAAAATTAATTCTGATTAAATTATCTAAACATTTTTAATTCTATTAAAATAATTTTAAAAAAATAATATTCAAATAGATTGTGTTATATCATAATCAATTATGATTAAAATTAAATATATTAATCAATTATTTTCATAATCAATTACACCCAACTTAAATGTAAATGGACTCTATATTAAATTATTTTTAGATGCTACTCAATGATTTTTTAAAATAATTAAAAATTTACTTTTTTTAATTTTAATTATTTTTAAAAATTTAAAAAAACATAATAAAAACTCATAAAATAAATTTTTAAAAAAAAATAAGTAATTTTTTATGAAATGAATTAAAACAAACGGCCCTTAATCATTAATAATTGACAAAAGCCATAGCTGAGGAGAGATAAAATCTTTTTAGATGTTGTCCTAATTCAATGTTACCTCGTTATGCTTTTTATTGATTCATCCCTTTCTTTCTTTCCATGCATTTGGAGAATCATTTTAATAATGTTTCCATATTTTAAAGTTTAAATATGTAAAACTTATGTTGATAGAAAAGATAAAAATATAAATAATAAAACAAGCAATACAAACACATGATAAAATATAAGTAAAAAATATAATACTAAGAATAAGTAAATTTAAAATATTTAAACTAAAGAATTTAATCATTAATTTAAAATAATGGTGATCAAATAAAATATTGAGGGAAATGTAGAGACTGACAACATAATTTTCTCCTAAAATATTATTTTATAATTTTTTACATGTTTATGTCATTTCTTCATATTATAACCTTTTTCCATTTTAATTTTGTGTATATACTTAGATTAAATACAAAAATAAGCTTGCATTTTCAGAATAAATGAGTTTCTTACTTCATTTTTGCAACTCATTTTGTAAACGTCATATATGGGAAAATTTATATTAAGAAAGCGACTATCATCAACACAACAACAAGCCTTTATCTCACCAGGTGAGGTCGACTATATGGATTGCAAGACGCCATTGTGCTCTATCATTTATCAAACTTTTAAGAATATTATTAATTAACAGATCGCGTTCAATAACTTTCAAGAGTGTTCTCTTAGACCTTCCTCTACCTCTCTTAAATGACAATAAAATCTTTTAAATTATAAAAATGATAATATAATCCTTTAAAATGCCATAATCTAATGAAATTTTTAAAAATTTATGTGTCAATAAATTTTAAAGTAAAAAGATTACTTTATTAAAATTAACAAGCCCTAATATTAACTTTTATTTAAAAAATAACTACTTTTATTATGTGAATCACAAGAATTAAACAATAAATAATAATTTATCAAATGTAATTTTTATATCAAAATAATAAACTCTAATCACAACTTTTTCTTCAAAAAATAATAAGTTTTGCTATGTGTAAATCGTAATAGTTGAATAAAAAATTATAACGTATCAAATACTTCCTTCATTCAAAAATGCAAAACATTTTTAATGAATCTCATCTCCTGATAAAGTGATTACCTACTTTTAAACTAACTCTATCTTTTTATATTTATCTTTATTAAACACCCTATAATAAATATAAAGTCACTATCAATGGGGTAGTTTTGAAAAAAGGTAATAATTACATCTCGAAAGACTAAAAATGTCTTACATTTTTTAACATCCAACTCTTCAAAAAATACCTTACATTTTTGAATGGATGGAATATAATTTTGTTATTGAAAAGCAAGTTCTCAAAATAATAAGTTTTAGTCACAATTTTTATTTAAAGAATAACTTTTATTTAAAAAAATTACAAAAATTGAACAAAGTTACAATTTGTTAACAAGGGTAAAATGATTTTTCTTAACTTAATTTATTGACATAAGAGTTTTTAAAGATTTCAGTTGAATTATGCCATTTTAAAAAACTAGATTGTCATAGTTATAAAATTTGAAGGGATTTTATTTTCATTTTCCTTAGATTCAACAAAACCCAGATATAAACCAATAGTTATGTATTAAAGAAAACTCACATCTCATCACTAAACATTGATTTCACAACTTCGCAGAGGACGCTCCTGAAAGCACAGAAGGAGCTTCCACCTGCATTTTCATTTCGCTGAACTTGAGGGCTAGTATGGGTTTGGATAACATCACACAGGTGCTCAAGTTGGGCGTCTCATTTTCAACATTTCCAACATCCTCTTTTTTATCATCATTTGTTACCGCAAGTGTTGCCCCTGAAACTCTCAACGGTTGCACTACTCGCAGCCTACATTTCAATAATTCATTGCAGCCCCAAGTTATATATCACATCGGAGATGAATTAATATCAAAGTATTGAAAATTGGACCTGTTAAGGCACTATTTTATGATTTAATGGTCAAATTCATAGCTAAACTGATTATAAACAAAATACTTTATATTATACAAGTTAAGATATTTGTTTAACAATTTACTGGTTGAGTCAGGCGGATTGACATGAATTTTTTTCATAATATAAGAAACATGCAAAAAGTAGAAGAGAAGCAAACCAACCTGCATTCAATCTGGCAAGAGTACTTGAGTAAATTAGGATTATACTCTGTGCCCCCACTGCAATGTTATATAGCAAATAGATCATTAGTTGATTTCTAAAACTGTGAAGACCAAGTAAAGAGGATGCCTAAATTAGTTTTACCTAAAACTTGGAAGTGACATTCTGATGGTTGGACCCATCCATTGTTTAACATTCAAAGCAGGTACTGCTATATACATATATATCATCAGCCTCACCCAGATTAAGCACCACATCTGTCATAAAGAAATTCAGAGACGTTCAAGCCACGTTCAAGCCACCAAATGTACTCACCAGCACTTGCCAGACTGATATCACACAGATCAGGGCCCTTGATTTCGGTTACTTGAACATCTTCCATTCGATTGCAGGAGGAAGCATTAATTCCTATTGGGTCCCAAAATCCATTCTTCCTTGTAACCGCTGTAATTCTCTGTTTCAGGGGAAATAGCTTTCAGGAGGTTGTAATATTGTGTACTTTGTAACTAACGAAAGGTCAACGGATACGATGTAAATTTCGTATCATACTAATAAAGAATAAGGTTCTGTTGAGCATAAATTAATTACAATATTATATATATACATATAAGGTGAACAAAGAATAGATAAACGTAGAGGATTCGATTCAATGAATTAAGCATACGAATGAAAAAAGAGGACTGATACAGCACAACAATCTATCAAAATCATTCAATTAAAGCCAAACCTTGACCTACTTTGGAAAACCTAGCCATCTGACTTGGGAGGCCCACCTCCTGCAAAAAAGTAGGGCAAGTTTAATGAGTGCATCATAACTAAAGGTGGGGTGTGTGTGTGGCATGAATATGCAGACGCAACCTTGCGTCCATGATCACAAGCCCGATCACTGTTCACATACACTCGTGCAGCCCATCTGTTGTTCATAAAGTAACAATTAAAAACGTGATAATAATCCCAACATGTAAATTTATAAAAGCGTCTTTATGTCCGCTCCCAGGTTCTGAACATGTAATCTATCTAATTTACTACTAGAAAGTGGGTTTTAGATTCCCTGTCTCCCACATCAAGCTGCAATTTGCTCATTCCACTTGCACAAAACTGTTGGCTGCCAAAAAAAAATTCAGCCTTTTTTTTTTCCTGATTAACTAAGTTTCAGCTTTTTAAAGATGGATTCCCATCGAAGTTAATGAATAATATTTGAAGTAAAATATGTGACATCGATCCGATCTAAATGCAGAATTACAACAACAGAGAGCAATAACATAGATATTACAGAAACATACGCGCATGAAGTTGGGCGGTTCCATACGATTCCGGCAATCACCACCAACTATGAAACATTACAAACTGATGATGTTAATATCAGTGAACATTAATTCAGATCATCTTCAACCATATTGACCATACAACTGGGGAGCGATAAACACAGTAACGATAATGAATCTCTCCTGTCAAATTATATGTACTGTACCATTAGATAACATCTTTTTTTAATGAAATTTAAAATATATTTTTAATGAAAGATAACATCTAAAGGAATGATGTATTGAATGTAATAATATTAGGGCTGTTCCTGGATTAATCTCCAGAGTAGGAATATGCATATGAGTCTAGAGAGAGAGATATATAGAATGTAGGATTGTACAAGTCAAATGGGATTCGTTAATCTCTAATTATTCGGACCTTGCCGTCACAGAGAATCTAGGGCAAACATTATGATAAACGTATTGAATTTATAAAATAATGGATGTTCCTATTAATTTCCAGAGAAAGAATGTGCATAACCTCATCGAATACACCAGCTGGACTGTCCTCATAATTGGCGAGGAAAAAGCCACCAAGTGTGTATCTACAATATGCCAATCATTAAACACAAAATTAAATCCCACGATCTCTTGACTGCATTTCAGTTCAAGGCAGAGCAACTACACTAAAATTAGCTACGCACCCAAACAATTCGACTAATCTGAATTCTTTTGGAATGCACGCTCGAGCTTTTTCTGCTTTCACAAGATGGAGCTGATACACGGCGCTGAATAACAGAGAAAGCATAGCAGCAAGATAATTGAATCGAATCCCCGCCTAACCACAAATATCAAACATACAAAGAGACAACAGAGAATGATCACTTGCCTGCCTTCGAATTTCCACGGAGGCTCACCATATCCGGACGAAGAATTTGCTTTTCCACTCTCCATGAGTCCCGAATTGAATTATCAGAAAACGATTTGCTCAGGCAAAAGGAAGCGGCATTCCTTTAGGTACTGATGATGCGAGCAAAGTTTTTAAGGAAAATGCAGAAAAAGGAAGAGTTGGGAGAGAAAAACGAAAGCTAGATTTGACCTGGTTTGGTCAAGGAATAGGGAAAATGAAAGCGGTGTGAGGGTGAGGGAGAGAAGAAGAACCGACTTATAGACGTTGAGCACCCAATTTTAGCTTCATGAGGGTAGCCTCTGCTCAAAAAATGGCAGGAACGAATTAAAATTTCATTAGTTCCTGGACTACTAAATTGTTGCTTTCAATTAAAAGGCATAATAGTTTGATAATTTATAAAAAGCTGGTGGCAGATTCTCTCTCCTCCTTATCTTCACCTCCTGATCGCTACTCATCTCTTCTTTGCTGTGTCTTCAGTCATCACCTCACGTGCGAAGACGAGCACAGATCTAAGCAACAACACCGGCGAGGAATGGTCTGACGATGTGGATCTGGGGGACGGGGTTCAAGAATGGAGGAAGAGAGAACGCCGAAGACGAGAGCGGTGAAGGACAACTGAACAAGAAGTCTGCAGCAGCACTGGCGAGGACGGGGTTGAGATTTTCAGAAATTTCAGATTGAGGCTGAGGATTCTCTGAATATTCTGTTGCTTAATTTCTATGGGCAAATCCTTCAGCCCTCGTGAGAAGAAGATGATTTTTGTTAGAGAGAGTGACGTGCGATTTGAAATGAGGAGGAGAAACGGTGATATGAAGATTATGCAATCTGTACCCACAAGCAGAGGAGAGAGAGAGATTGGATTTAGAAAAAATAATAATTATTAATAATTAAAAGAAATAGCAAAATTTAAGTTCTTAGTTTTATACCATAAGATGGAGACAAGTAAATTTTAATAGGTTAATAATAACAACAAGAACTTGTTATATAATAGATAATTTATAAAAAATTTATATATCTTAATTTAATTAAAAATAAAAATATCATTATTATTTATATATACTCTCTCCGTTAAAAAATATAAGGTATTTTTTAAAAAGTTAAATATTAAAAAATGTAAAGTATTTTTAATCTTTTAAAATATATTTATTATCTTTTTTTATAAAGTACTCCTATTGATAACATATGATTAGTTTGAAAGTAAATAATTACTGTATTAAAAATGAAATTTGGTTAAAAATATTTTAAATTTTTAAATGAAGGAAGTATATATAAGTAGAATAATAGGTTATGTACTCAAGTCATGTGTACTTTTTTAAGCTTGCTAATTTTGTGTTTTGGGATGTCTTTTCTATAATTTTGTATTTTAGATTTAAGTTTGAAATTAAGTTCGAGATGATTTATTATTTTTAGGGTTAAAGATCATTTTTATTCCTAACTATACATAAAAGATCACAAATATCTCTAAATTTAATTATAGGTCAATTATATTCCTCAACTTTAAAGATTATCTTTATTATTACTTTAGCGTTAAAAACATTTAATATTTGTTAATCATCAGTTAGTTTTACTATTTTTTTAATATTTTATCAATTTAAAGGTCATTTTTGCCCTTTATCTCAAATATTTTATAATAAAAAATATTAAAAAAATATAATGTGGGATCTGTTAATAATCAACTAATGATAAGAAAATAATAGGATGATAAGAAAGGAAATTTTTATAACTTTTCATATACAGTTTAAAGATAAAAATAACCCTTAGCATTTATTTTTATATGTGTTTAAAAAAATTCATATTTGGAGTTATATTCTAGATAATTTATCATTTATATATATATATATATATATAAATTTTGATTATTTTTTGATAAGCTCTGTTTGAAAAATAAATTAATATATATAAAATAAAGATATGGTTACCAGTTGCATATATTTTCCCCATAAAAATCATAATAATATAAAGATCATGCTTGATATTGGCCTCAAAGGTGATGATTAGAAGAAGTTACATGTATTAGGTTGCGTTGCTTGTATTTTTAATTAAAATTAATTGAGTAGAAATGTTAATATTTTGAACTAGAGGAAGTAATATTTTATTAAAAAAATATAATTATTAATCTTTATAATTTTATTATTCATCTTGTATTTTGTTCCAAGTCTCTACAATAGTTTTCATTTGTAGTATTAGTCGTTTTATTTTTAAAGATTAAATATTATTTTTACTTTTTAACTTTATCCAGAAAGTACTTAATATTGTACACTTAGCTGTGAGTCTTCACATTAGAAATTCAGTCCCCTAGCGTCATTCTTTTGTTATTACGTGAGCTCTACATTTTAATATTGGTCAAATTAATTTTTTTATAATTTAAAAAAGAATTTAAGCTAAATTATTAGTTGTTATTCTCACCCTGGTTCTCATTCTTTTGCCGTCTGCCTTCTTTTTCAGAAAAATTATGGACCTATTTGGCAATCTATTTTAAAAAAATTTTATGTTCTTTAGAATAAAAAAAAAAAAATTTATTTGGTAATATATTTTTAAAAAATAAAAAAAATATTGTTCTCAAGAAAAAAAATGAAAACAATCAGGTGTTGTGAGATTATTATTTTAAAAAATAAAAAATAAGAAAAATACTTATTTTTATTATTTCTTTTTTGTTTTCAAAATATATTTTATAAAACACTAATTCTCAAAATAATAAAATAAAAATAATTTCAAACAACCCCTACATCTCTTGTACATTTACAATTTAATAAAAGATATTTATAATTAAACAATGAGTATTTATAATTATTATAAAATAATAATTTATAATAGCAAGTTATAAATGTTCCTTGTTCAATTATAAATATCTTTTATCAAGTTATAAATGTGTAAGATTTAAAATTTAAAAATATTTTATACTTCATCCATTAAAAAATATAAAATATTTTTTAAAAAATTAAATATTAAAAAATATAAGATATTTTTAATCTTTCAAGATGTAATCATTATTTTTTTTAAAGTATTACTATTGATAAATGACTTTATATTTATTATAGAGTCTTTAATAAAGATAAATATAAAAAAATAAAATTAATTTAAAGTATATAATTATTTTATTAAGAGATAAAATTTAATTAAAAATATTTTATATTTTCATCCGAGTGCGTATATTTTTTGGAGTTCTTGATAATTTAATCTGTTTATGTGGTATCTAGGTATAATTATTTCTTCTTTCTCTCCCCTCCGCCTTTTCTCTCTCTCTTCACGTGCTCTTCGCCTCTTACCAGTCGTATTCACGAAACCTGCTTCAATTCAACCCGCCATTTGTCTCTCTCTCTCTCTCTCTCTCTCTCTCTATATATATATAGATATATAAATGAAATCCAAAGGAACATGAGTGAAATAACGAAGGAATAAGCGAATTAAAAGGCGTATACGAAGAACCTGTTCGTCCTGCTCATGAATGGCAAGTCAAGAACAATACCGCTACTGCAAGTATGCGATGAAGGCGTGGAGTTTGGTTCCAGGAGGAAGAGACCTGACAAAGAACATCGTTAATGGTGACGTCTAGTCTTTTGCCGGCGTCCTCGTAATCCACAGGGCACAGGCTTCGTCGTACCCGTCGTCCTCGCCCATGTCGTCATCGTCCTCAATCCTTGATCCATGCCCTGCGTAGTGGAACACCAGCGAGTCCCCTGCCTTGCATGCATGCGCTGCTGTTGAGCTCGCGTCCTTGTTGAAGAAGTGAAGCGTCTCGAGCTAGTGGCTGGCCTTGTCTAGCTCAAACTTCAGCGTACAATCCTTCGAATGGAAGCATTCCATTTCCATATGCAGTTTCATTCTCTGTGACCCAATTAAAACCACCACACCCACATTCTTCCCAACCGTTGATGTCCGAGTCACCTCGTCCCGATATGAAAGAGAGGGTGGAGCCGTGGAGGGAATCTGAAATCGAAGGGGAAGAAGAGGGAGGGACAGGAGAGAGAGTGTAGGTTTTATTATTAAAAAAAAAAAAAAAAACAATTGGTGAGACCCACTTACTCGAAACGGATGTTAACAGCAGGGTAACAACAAGAGCATTTTCAATATTGATGAAGAATTGACCCATGATTGAGTTGGGTTCAGTTTCTATGCGCAGCACTGGGATAAGCATTGGGTACTCGTCAATTAAACGAGGCTTCGTTTTGACTGACGGAAAACAAATGAGAACTGGTTTCTTACTCATCCCGCATGCGATGGTGTAAGGATAAAACCTCGACCATTTAAATTTTAATTTAGACGGTTTAAATTTATTATTATTATATATTTATTAAAATAAAAATTTATAAAAATTATAAAATAATTTTAATAATTTTTTTATTTTTAATCTCATCTAGATTTAATTTAAAGGGCTTAATTTCATATTAAAATTTTTATAATTGATCTAGATCATATTAAAATTATTTTATAATTTTTATAAATTTTTATTTTAATAAATATAATAAAAATATTTTAAATTTAAATGGTCTAAATCTCATCTTTAAATGAGCATATGGATGAGCTGGGAAATCCATCCTTGAAACAAATGACACTCTTTTCTTTTATTTTATTCTCTCCGTTTAAAAATATAAGACATTTTTAATTGAATTTTATCTTTCAATAAGTAGTTACATACTTTTCAACTAACTTTATTTTTTTATATTTCTCTTTATTAAATATCTTACAATAAATATAAATTTATTATTAATAAAGATACTTTTTTAAAAAAGTAATTATTACATTTTAAAAATTAAAAATATCTTTTATTTTTAAATATTTAATTTTTTAAAAAAATTTTATATTTTTAAATAGAAGAATAAGTTAAAAATTTCCCTAAGAGCAGAAGGAAATGGCTTTTGAGACTATTTTCGTGGACCTAGCATAACTCCTAGAATTAGCATATTGTATCTTTGAATTTCTCCAAGATTATATATATCACTCAATTAAAAAAAACAAGAAGAATTTTATAAATAAGCAATAAAATTGTTACACTCAACAAAATTAAAAATCTAAGACATTTTTTTGGAAAAAATAATTATTTGGTCCTTTTATTTTTCACTCAATTATAACTTAATTCTTAAACAGTTTTATTAAAAAAATTAATCATTTAGTCTTTATAATTTTAAATTAATTATAATTCAGTTCTAAAATTTTAATTCGGTATAACTCAATTTTTATAGTTTTGATAATTTAAAACATTATTTCTTATATTTTAAAAAATAAAAATAAAATTTTAATATTTATAATCTTTATAAAGGTTAAAAGTTTTAATAATTTAAAATATTAATCTCTAAATTTCAGAATAATTTTATTATTTATAATTTTATTTTCTCAAATATAAATATCAATATTTTAGATGGTTAAAATTATAAAATTTGGATTGTAGTAAGTCAAAATTTAAAGATTAAGATGCAATCAAATTAAAATTATAAAGATTAAGTTATAATAAGTTAAAGGTCAAGCATTAAGTTATAATTGAGTGAAAATTAAAAGAACAAAATTAATTTTTCTGAAAAAGTTTTTTGAATTTTTAATTTTATTGATAATAACAATCATTTATATAATCCATCTTTTTTTTTTTAATCTAGTGATATCTGTAATCCTGGATTCATAGAATTTGAAAGATGAAAAAGCCCGAGTTATGATGGGTCCAACGAAAATAGTCTCAAAAATCAATTCCTTTCACCTTTTCATTTTGTCTGGAGAAGTTTTAACTCAAAGATAGCAGCATCGTTCCTCCCATCAATCAAAAGGATGCGTTGTTTAATTACTGAGTACTCAGAGGTCACCCTAACGCTGAGCGTGAAAACTGAACCCGAGTTGGTTTAGGATACGGGTGACCTTTTGAATAAAGTTAAAAGATGAAAATAATTTTTAATTTTATTTTTAAAGATTATAATATATATTTAATTTTTTAATTTTATATAAAATTTTATTTTAATCTTTTAATTTTATAAAATGTCTTTTTACTCATTTAACCTTAACACTGTTAGTTTTATTTTAACAAATTTTTACATTAAATTTTTAAATATTGATAAAATATTTTCAAATATTAATATATTAAGTTTAATTTTTTTAAAACAATAACTGATTGATACAAAAAATAATCATTCAGAACTAAGAATATTAGGATTAAATGATTAAAAAGATACTTTATAAAATTAAAGGATCAAATTAAAACTTTATATAAAATTAGATAATTAAAAGTATACTTTAAACTATTTTTAAATGAATCCATAGGGACAATGATGTAACATTAACAATATTAAATTATCTAACATATAGTTAACGTGTTAAATCTTGTGTTGAATGTTAAAATGGGGGGCGGGGAGAGCAATCATAAAATATAAGGCAACTGTTCAAAATTAGAAAAATAAAATATTAAAACAAAATATCTTGTATGGTAATGAAATCAAAATAAAGGCAAAGAGGTGAGGTCGAAGTCCACAAAATTAACAAAACAAAATCTAACTTCCGTTTGCAAACAATGAAATAACATTAATTACACACAAGATAACTTAATATCATTAGTGCTACATCATCATCTTTAAATATGCATTTAAAAATAAGAAAAACTAACATTAAAAAATGAGAACAGATATAGGTATCTGAAGAAATACACACACACACACACATATATACGAGTACCAATAACAAAACAAAATAAAGCTATAAGGGTCATTAGTTGTGTTTTTCCCATTATATTTTAGGTATTAAAGCGGATTCTCTATCAATTCTAATGCGACGTAGATTTAGGTTTAAAACAGACAAAAGGGGGAAGAGAAGGGAATCTCATAAAGCGACATGGAGCTGTATTGTTTCTTACTCCACGCGTACTGAATCTGATCGATAAAGCTTTGAAAAAACGTGTACAACCACAATCTGTATAGGAATTCATGTGCCTCACTTGATTGGAAACTAAAATATCTTGAAGAAAGTGGTAGAATCGAGCAACGAGAGCATAACACTATACTTCCAAGTACTTCCATGAAACTACTAGTCATTTACAGAACATAACACAATACCATTGCCAAAAGAAGAAAACACCAGATACATCTGGGATGCAACCAAGAAATCAAGATGATGCCAAAGTGCCAAACAGATCAGCTAAACCAGAATGGTTGATTGATTTTGCTTGCCAATACCAACAAAAAAGAGAAAAACAAAGCAAAAAGACCCCTATTTGTTTGATCTTCCTATCCCCTACACTATCCTATTGGCTGCTAATTCACAAAATGGTTTTAGTGAGTGAAGAATCAAAAACTGTGAAGCTGCGTTAGCATGTGAACGAGTTCGTCACTTGAAGGCCTATCTGCCGGCACATCTGAGAGGCATGCTGCGGCAACTCTGACAGCCATGAGCATATCATCTTCGTCGCCTTCTCGCACGATTATACTCTTATCGAGTGCTTCCTTGGCATCTCCTGCTTGCTGCAACTGCCTTAACCAACATCCCATGCTCCCTCCATTTCCTGCTTCTCCAAAGAATGTATCTCCTGGGTCCTTTCCAGTTAATAATACACCCAAGATCATCCCAAAACTGAATATGTCACTTTTGTCACTGTACCTGCTGAAATACATATAGAAATTAACAATCAACTTCACACACGTACACACATGCATCCACCAAAATCCCAACAATCAAAGAATAACCATAGAATGGAAATCCAGGTAAACCTGTCTTGTTGAACTAGTGAACTGATAAACCAATGTCTTGACCAAATTAATAAAATACTTTTTTTATGACCGGTTTAATCTCGATTCAACTATGATTTTGATTATTAACCCTTGAACCAATGCTTTAACCAATTCAATGACTTGTCCGGTTTTCAATACCTTGAGAATAACACTATGCCTCTTCTACACTATGCAATCTCCATAACAGAGTATAACATTTTCTATTCAAAATCCACCCCTAATCTCTATTGATTGCCCCATACCACCACCGTCTTTCTTTAGCATGTGGTCAACTATACTCCTTTGAACTAGAGGTTAACAAGTAAAACTTGTTAGTGTTGATTATGCATGTCTTTTAAATAAATATGAGTAACATTAGTTGTAAAGTAAATCAATAAAATCCATTAGGTATTGACTGCATAGCATTGGAAGAATCATTGATTAAACTACAAATGAACAATAAATAAAAATAAGAACACTAAGAGCCCGTTTGGTTGTAGGAGAAAAAAATGAAATGAGATGCGATGCGTTTATAGAGAACAAAATAGGCTAAAATAAGGTTGGAAAGATGAGAATTATAGAGCGTGAGATCCATTGAGTGACAGACAGGTAGCAATGGAGATTGATGACCTTATTCATGTCAATCCTCATTCCCACCTCTCTCTATCACCCATGGTTTTTATTTCTCCAATATGCACACCTCTCTATAAATTCACAGCCTCATTTAGTTCATTTTGTTCTCTATTAAGTCATTCTATTTCTTTCCAACAACCAAAAGAGCCCTAATGTCATGAGTAAAAGAATTAAACAAGAGCATTCAATTTCATGTATGCAAAATGATCAATCTTCTGCTATCTTCTATGGAGTAAAGAGCAGGACAGATTACAGATTACCCAAGAAGCAAAGTTGATCAGCTATATGAAACTCAACAACAATCAATCATAGTGTTTTTGGCACCTGCAGTTATGAAAGTATTCAGGAGGAGTGTAGGGAGATGTGGCTCTACTCAAGTTGGGTAGAAGCTTGATCAATCCATAATCTGACAACCTTGGTTCAAACTCAGCATCCAACATTACATTGGTGGGCTTAAGGTTGTAGTGCAGAATCTGAGGTGCGCAAGTAGAATGAAGATACTGAAGCCCCTTAACCACCCCAATAGCAATCCTTAACCTAATTTCCCAACCAAGAGGCAACTCACTTTCCTTAGCTCTGTTCATTGCATCAGCAAGGCTCCCCTCGGCCACATAATCATAAACCAATGAAAAACTGTCAGGTTCACGAACATAGGCCCTTAAGCTCATCAAATTTCGATGTCTCAGACTAGCAAGCACTTCCAGTTCCTTCTGTATCTCTCTCTTAACCCTCCTTTTCCTAATCTCCGGTGAACCGCTTTCAAAGGGTGTTAACCTCTTGACTGCAATTGTAAGCCCATTGTCAAGCACAGTCTTGTAACATTTGCCGTTTAGGCTTGAACCAAGCAAATGGTTTTCTTTTGCCAGAGCTGATTGCAGTGTCTTTGGAGAAACTTTCGGGGAAAATATTACAGGCCCCTTGAGAATTGGGATTCGATTCAAATACTGAACAAAGCAACGGACTATAAGAGCAAACAAAACTGAGCCAACTAATCCAGTGACTGCTCCTAGAACAACACTAATGATGATCTTGCGGAGGTCTTCCCTGTCTCCTGAAGACCTTGAATAGTTTTGTTTACTAAACCTTCCCTGGCACTGAACAGTAGTGGTGTGCTGAAAGCTAAATAAGAACAGCAAGAGTAAAGTAAATAACTCCTTTGTGTAATATGAGGAACTGTATCTTCTGGAAACCATTAGAGCACGCGCAGAACCACAAATCACAGACGCTAACCAGGAAGATAAAGCATGGCATTTATCAGATGCCTAACCCATCTGCAAACTGTGTCACCATAACTAGTTGACACTTGGAAGCAGACTCAACCAGTCACCAAGATCAAATTTTTATGTTAAAAGCATCCACAAGCAGCTCTAACTCGCTCAAACTTTGGAGCAACATGCCAGGAAATAAGTCCCAGAGAAGAGTTTATAAGAGAAGCTGATCCGTCAAAAAGCTAAAAAAAGCGTATCTTTTCAGCTCAATATCGTCACAAGGAAGCCGCGAAGAATCATATTCATTGTTTAGAATCCCATTATTTATCTTACTTGTGAAATCATTTGTTCCTTCCAACGAATCTGAACCAGAATATGAATCTGCAAAAAGAGAAAGAATAAAATTTCCACTGCTGGCCAGATACAAGCAAACAACAAATCAGCAACTAGCAAAAGAACCAGAAACCCATTTCTTATCTCAGCTCCAAAAAAGAAAAATGAGCTCTTCAAAGAAAAAGAAAACGTTCCACATGACAAGGCGAGTCCTTTTCTTCCAAAACAACTACGACGACTCTCTCGTCCTTAAAATATTAGAATACTTGAAGAAAGAGAAGGGGACAAACCAAAAACAGTAGCCAGAGCGAATGAACTTCCTTTAACTAGCAAAGAAGAAATGGGTAGATAGATGAAGAAGGAGAAGAAGAAGGCTCACGCAGAATCACAAGGCCACGCATTAGGTAGGTGTGTTCCTACTCTCAATTGTAATTCGCTCTTGCTCAAGGCATTCAGAATCTCTCTCTCTCTCTCTCGCTCTCACTCATGAGAGGGGAGAAGGAAAGAAGGGCCATACCATACCGTGCCCCAGCGACAAAACTGGGTTCGCGCCTTTCTGAGTAGCCAGTAGTCCCGTACTAAGTGGGGTCCACGCTTCGAAAGCGAGACATCGAAACCCGTGAGAAGGGGAAAGCGAAGAGGATATTGACCGTCCAATAGAGAGAAACAGATCTTGAGCGTTAAATTGTGAATTTTGAGTATGTTTATTAAATAATAACAGTGTTATCTCATTGCAGGGATTAGTAAAGTTGTCTCTTTCCTTTTTTTTTTTTAATCAATAGTAATGTCTTTTTCTTTCATTTCTTTCACTCCCTTTTTATGCTGGAGGAAACACGTAATAGTAGAAAAAGATCTTTGTTAAACTTGATTAATGATTGTTGGTCCAAAAAAAAAAAACTTGATTAATGATTAGGTAGAAGTGTTGGGGTATTGTTAATCAAAACCATGATTTTGGTTGAGATGATTGATGATACAACCATAGGCACTATGCATTCAGGCTGGAGCGTTTATAAATGTATTTATAGATAATTTATTTATAAAGTTCTTACATTGTTATTGAGATTTAATCTTACAACTTTTGTAAATTATAAGATAAACAATTTTCAATCAGGTCAATTTTTGTTAGCTCAAATACTTTTTACTTGATATTTAGACGACAAATTTTGTGATCCTTCTTTCACGGTATCACCTTAATTATTTGTTAATTTTTTTTTCTTTTATCATCATTCAATGTTAACTAGATGTTACACCTGAGACATTAATTTTTCCTTAAATTGAGGAAAATTGATGGGAATAGAATGGAGAAGATATTTTAATGATTTCTTTTTTTTTTGTTGAGTTTTTTAATGACTTCAATTAGAAAAAAAAGATAGACAAATAGTGTTATAAAATTTTAATAGAGGAAACATCTAAGAGAAAAAGGACTAAAAATGATGTAGATTTTTTAAGAATTTGTCTAAAAATCCCAAAAAATACAATCAGAAGTCACACTCAGTAGAGCTAGAAAAAAAATTATTGATCAATGAATTGAAACTTTAGAAAAACTCATTCTTAAATTTCATATTATAAAAATGACACTAAAAGAGACGATCAATCTCTTAACAAAACCCTGAACATAATCTCACAAGTAATCAATTTTTATTCAATTCTCTTTTCACCCAAAATAGTTTACAATGTGGGCCTTTAAGTAAGCAAAAAATAACCCTACTCTAAGTTAGATTCTTTGAAAATCATAATAAAACTCTAGTTGAGATTGTTGAGCCCACAATGCCTATTTAATTGACACCCAACTAAAAAACGAAAATAAATAATAAAATAAAATAATTCCATTAATTTGACATCTAAACAATATTCTAATTTAAATACGAAAAATATTAAGAAAATTAAAAAATAATTTAAAATAATTAAATGGTGTCTTAAATCTTTCTAATAATCCCTTAAATCTTGGAAAACTCTTTTAAATAATAAAATTACATAAAAATAAAAAATAAAATGAATAAATTAAAAGCCCTTTTGAATAAGATCTTTTACTTGCATTCATCCATGCCCGCCGATTAGAAATTGAATACTTCATGAATCACCACTTGAAATACAAATACCGTATGGATCATCATGTAGGATGTCACTTGGCATGCCATTTATTCTTTTCAAATCTATTTTCTGGTTAAGCTTCTCTCACTTGACTGATGTCAAATAAAGTGACAAAATTGCCCTCCAAATTTGTATCAAGAAAGTGTAAAACTTTTAATCACATTTCTCTATTTTATTTACAATCGAACTCATTAAAATTTCCATTATCTCCCTTCTATTTCCTTCAAACCATACAAAGTGTAAAATAGAATTTGTTTCTTTCTTATTATATAAAAAATTTGTTTTATTTCAGAATTGCTACCTATGCATATTAAATTTTTTTATTCTTTTTTTATACAATTCCTTTTTAATTATCATATTAGTTATTTTAGAATTTCACCTTATGCATCTTAAAAATATATAGAACAATTTATTATTTCGTGCGCATTAGAAACTTATTTTAAAAGTAATTACCACATGCATCCCATATATTATAATTTATTTCAATAAAAAATTCATTACTTCTATGTATATTAAACATATAGCAACAATTTATTTATTTATTTTACAAATTATTACTCCTCTCGTCTCAAATTATAAGACACTTTAAGACAAAATCTCACATACCAATAAATTTCATTAAATACACTTAACAACCTTATCTTTCCAAAACAAAAATATAAACTTTCAAAAATACCCATTATTTAATATATTGAAAAGAGAAGGGACAACAATTAATTAGAGACAGAGAAAAGATAATATTAAAATTGATACATTTAATGAAACTTTAATCTACTCAAATGTCTTATATTTTGGGATAGAAATTTTTTTTTCAAAGTGCCCTATAATAGAGTATCTTATACTTCATCTGAACCACAATATAAATCATTAATTAACTCATTTATGTTTCTAAAAAACTAATTAAAATCTTGATTTTCTAAAAGTTTTTTCTTATTTTCAACCGTACCATTGAGTATTATTCCCTCTTGTTGCTATTATAAAGCTAGTCTAACTACCTCATAAGAGTCAAGAAGATGTAATTAAATTATTAATATTTTATAGAATAAATTTCTAATTTTACTTACCGCTATTTAAATGAAAATTTTTTAAACTTTCATTTCTCTCTTATAATTAATGGGTTTAAATGGGGATAATATTAAAAAAGACATAATTAATATCAAATCAAGTATTTTATATTAAGCATAAAAAAATTCTTTTAGAAAATGCTATATATTAAGGATTGATGAGAGTGTAAAATAAAGATATGATTAAAAAATATATAAAATATACTCTATGTCTTAATTTTGGAGAAATAAAGCATCTAAAAAATGCCCCCTTGTTAAGCATATGGTGGGGGGTTTGATTCCTCACTCATACGAATGGAGAGCACTTTATGATCAACCGTTTGCCTCTTGTGGGAGATCTCACGGCAAAAGTATTAGTCATTGCTACCAGGGTGGATACCCTGGCCAACAAAAAAAAAACATCGAAAAAATGTCATATCTTATAGTTGGAAGGAAGTACGCATTAAAAATATTTGTATATTCGTTTTTTTCACTACAACCTTATAGTGGTCCCGCATCCACATTTTCTTAATGTAGACCCTACAACTCTCACTTTTCATTACTACATAAATTTTTAAAAAATATAGAAAAAGTCTCAAATTTTGACGATAATTAAAAGTAGGGCTTTGCAAAAGTCTGGCTATCCCATCTAACTCGATTTAACCTGAGCAAATCCAGTTTGGTTTGTAAAAAAATTGACTCAAAGAACTAAAAGGACCAATAAGACCAGACTTCATTTTTTCGTTAGACTAGACAAGGAATCAAGCTTTCAGATCACTTGATCTATTCCAGTCCTATAAAATTATTTAAATATAATTATAATTATTTGTATTTTTTAATATAGCTAAATGTGATGATTGAAGCTTAAGACCTGACTGTTGAACATAGCATCTCACTTCATTCTCTAAATCCTCTCTTCTCTTGAAGTTTGCTGTTAACTTCTTGATGTAATGTAGTTTAGAGACATTGAAGTTTGTTGAATATTATTATATATTGTAACTGAAATACTTTTTTGTTGTTGGAGATTATTATAAATTCATTATGATTAACTTTTAATGTTTTGTGATAAATGATATATGATTATATAAGTATTTTTATCATCTTAATTAAGTTTATCAAATTGAAATGAACTATTACCTTTCACTAAACTACTAAAACTAGTCTTTTAACCTATGAACCAAATCTGATCCTATTTAACTTTGAGTTATGCATAGACAGGATCAAACTACAGGTTTGCTAAACCACTCCTTTCTGTGTGAGAGACCAAACTTTGAATTAAATTAAAATCATATTCTATTAGTCTTTTGTTCAGCCTTAACTGCAAGATATAAAGATGCAAGAAAATAGGAGACTTTATTAAAAATATATTTAATATATATAAAGGAGGAAACTTATTTAATTTTTAAACAAAACTACTAAATTTTAAAATTTTTATTAATTTTGATTAGAAAATTTAAAAATAAAGTTATAAATTGAACTGGGTGTGGAGTATTCCTTTTTTCAAATTTCTTAAAATACGCTTCAAATAAAATAAATAGAGAAAAATGATGAATCTTATCCCTCTTTCATCATTTTTTTGGGGACAAGTGACCATTCAGAAATCAAAGATCACAATAGGAGGGCTCTTTACTTTTTCTTTGCAAGCTTTTCACACTTGACTGTAAATGGTTCATAATTAATAAATAATATAAAATTATTATAAATTTTAATAATTTATTAATAATTTATTAATTAATTTCTCACAAGACGTATTTTAATGATTGTTTACAAATATTTACTAGATGAATTCTAAAAAATAAAAATATTTTTAAGATGATTTTTATGCTGAGAAATATAGTTTGAATTTTTACTATAAAACTCTTACTAGATTTTAATGCTTACAAGAATACCTACTTTGAGTTTTATTATATAGAACTTTTTAAAAGGATTCTATAATCCTTAATATAAAACAAGTGGAAGGTTATTTATTATCATTCTTCAATTTTACTCCTACTATAAATTTAATTTAATGACTCATTGTATAATGTATATCTCTTTTCTCCTATTTTTAATAGGGTTGAACGTTTTCATTTTAAAACATTTAATAATTTGATTGTCATTTATTAATTTTGGTAAAATAATTGAAAGCACCTTACAATTATAATTAGAGAGCGTAAATACTAAAAAAAAAAACATAAAATTCGGAGGAAAAACAAAATGACTGGAAAATTAAAACTAGAGAGTGAGGGAGATAGAAGTTGGAGCCAAAGAGTTACAGCCATAACACCTTCATTAAAATAAACCAACGTACACATACACAAATCCCAAAGGCCGCATCGCCGCTTGACCAAAAAGGAAGCAAAGGAAATACAAAATAGGAATACACCAGCATCATATCATATTACAGTATACACTAGACACAGCTCTGGC